AAAAAAAAAAAAATGAATACTCTAAATTCTTTATCAGACATTTCTATGATTTCCATTGTACTGTCTGTGGATGAAGAGGAGTTATTCTTTTCCCTAGGGGATGAGGTGTTTTCTTGGTTTCACATATTTCTTGTGACCCTGCAGTGATTTCTAGTCATCTGATGGGTTATCTGTTTTTTCCTAAATTTTGGAAGATCAATCTGAGCTATCAGAGGTGCACAGGAGGATGTGGTCTTCAAACTCTTTGGCATTGTGCTTTCCTCTCTTTGTGACGCAGATTCAGTGGTAGTTGAGGAATATGAGGACCCAAATAGTATTCAGATTTGGCAACTTTTCACTTAAACTTGTCTAGACACTCAGTAGGTGGAAGCTGAGCAGCAAAGTGATAGGGTAAAATGTTGGGGCTGGCAAAAAGTCGAAGGAGAAAAGATTCTGCAATGACTATCTGTGGTGTTTGTGTGGATTTTTCATGAGAGGATTAATAAACTAAAATTTTTTACAAAAAAAACAATGAAAGAATAAAAGAGAAAAATGGATAAAGCAAACAAAAAATCATTTGTGAATTATAAAATGCAAAAAATGAAAATCACTAGCTCTCAGCTCTCATGGCAGACTCAGTCTTCTTCTGGCCTGCTTTTTTTGCCTAGAAGGGAGGGGGAGAGGGGAGGGGATTACTATCAAGATAAAGAAGGATTTCGAGCCTAGAAAAAAATTTTACCTTAAAAATTTTTTTAAAAAAGAAAAATTAGAAAAAAAGGAAAAGACAGAGACAGAAAGGCAGCAAGAGACAGAGAGACAGAGAGAAAAAGACAGGGGCTCTACCAGGGTAGATTCTCAGCAGAACAACTTCATTGCTCTTATCTCTGAAATCACTAGATCTCAGCTCTCATGGTGGATTCCCCAGCTTGCTTTATTATAAACCAATCCAACATAGTTATAACTGAACTGCAGAAAGATCCTTAAAATAACAGTGTCAGACCTGGCAGGTGGCATGGTGGTTAAAGGCACTGTACTTCCCCATGAATGACTGTGGTTCAAGTCCTGGACCTAGTAGCTTGCTTTCTCACTTTCCCTCTGTCTCTCTTTCTCTGTCTCTATCTGATCGAATTGGAAAATAATAATAATTAATAAAAGTAAATAAAATAATTTCTTTAAAACAAAAAAGAATAACGGTGTCATCTGTTGGGATTCATCAGGGAGAATACTGATCATATCTTCAGCTTTGCCACATAACAGACACGACCTGGCATATTCCTGACATTCATCCATGCTACTGAGTGTATACTTTTCCAGCCAGGAAAAGTTCTTCAATTTTGAGTACTCATGTGGATCCTTAAATCCACCTGAATCATCCAGGATGATCTCCAATCACAAGGTTTATGCCCTTGATCATGTCTGCAAAGTCCTTTTTCCACGTAAAGTAAGCTATTCACAAATTCTTGAGAGTAGGGCATGGTTATCTTTAGAGAATATTCTGCCCTCCAGGACTGTCACATACAGTAATATGACATGTGAATACACATGTGTACTATACATACTAACGTGTGATGTGGACTGAGGTGTTAAAGGAAGACTTCATGGAGACACGTCCTGAAAGATGTGCAAAGCCTTAGAGAAAGAGAGGGAGTGAGGGTGGTGTGGATGTGTGTAAGGCAGGGAAACTACCAGCTTAACTGTAGGAAGGGCACCTGCTAGAGGAGAAGCCAGGACACTGATAAAGTACTAGAGGACTAGAGAGATGCAGGGTTTATTATCCTGTAGACCCTGAGAGCCTTTGGAGGAGTAAGACCTGGGGGAAAACACAAGGAAAGAAACATGTTAGGAAGATGGAAGTGGTGATCCTGGAGATGGGAGGACTGGATAAAGGCTATGGCAATAACGTAGACCTGAAAAGATTAAGAGGATGGGAGTCTATGCCCAGGTGACTTAGAATCTTACACTTTGTCTATTTATTTTTGTCCCTGTCCCTTATTCTGTTTCCCTTGTCACCCTTCCTTTCCTCCTCTCATGTTAACAGTCTTTGGACTTATGTCAGGTACCAGATCAAAACATAATTCTCTTAGCTCTCCCTAATTTTCAGTTACTTTCCCATCACCTACTTTTGACACCTTCCAAGCCTTCTGACATAAAGCATTCTTGAAAGACTCTGTGTACCTCTTTTAGATGTTATTTTCAGGTCCATTTATCTTGTATACATTGTAGTTCACTTCCTCTTGGCAAACAAAATGGGTAATACAAGAATGTCTTTTTTCTTTTTTCTTTTTTAGCAGATTGGATGAGAAGACCTAAGCTAAGGAATCAATGCCAAGTCATGGAGTTTCCAAAGAAGAATTATCCCAGGTGGTATCAGTGGAAAAACACATTCGAGATGAACTCTGATCCTCCAACCTGAAAGCAACCTGTAGTTGTAAGGACTCTAGGTTGGAAATGCAGCAGATAAAACAGGAGAGATATCTGAAAGAAATGTCAGTCACTCACCAATCTAACACCACCCTTAGGAGAGATTATGAGTGGAGTGAATTTGGGAAAAGTTTCATCTTAAACTTGGTCCTTGTGAACCAATACAGTATTCCCACAGAAGGATCCCGTAAGTGTAATACAGAATTCAGACAGGCTTCAGGGATAAATAACTCTCAAAGAAGCCATGCAAGGAAGAAATCTTGTAAATGTAGTGAATGTGGGAAGTCCTTCCATTTCCAATCAGAGCTCAGGCGTCATCAGAGATGTCACACTGGAGAAAAGCCCTATGAATGTAGTGATTGTGGATGAGTCTTTGGTCATCTCTCATCCCTTATTAAACATCAGAGAACTCATACAGGAGAAAAGCCTTATGAATGCAGTGAATGTGGGAGAGCCTTCAGTCAGAGTTCATCTCTCGTTCTACATTATAGATTTCATACTGGAGAGAAACCCTACAAATGTAATGAATGTGGATGAGCCTTTGGTCATACTTCATCCCTTATTAAGCATCGGAGAACTCATACTGGGGAAAAGCTCTATGAATGAAGAGAATGTGGGAGAGCCTTCATTCAGAGTTCATCTCTCATTGTTCATTATAGATTTCATACTGGAGAGAAGCCCTACAAATGTAATAAGTGTGGGCGAGCCTTCAGCCAGAGTTCATCTCTCACTCAGCATTATAGATTTCATACTGGAGAGAAACCATACAAATGTAATGAATGTGGAAGGGCCTTTGCTCATACCACATCTCTTATTAAACATCAGAAAAGTCATACTGGAAAAAAGTCTCTGTGATTTCAGTGAATGTAGAAAGGCTTTTAGATGAAACATAGACATCACCAAACCTCAGAAAACGCGTATTGGCAAGAGATCCTACAAGCATAATGTGTGTGGGATGACCTTCGGTTGGAGGACACATCTTGTTCAACATTAGACAGTCCATATGAAGGAGAGGCCCTACTGATGTTAAGAGAGTGAGTGGGCTTTTAGTGACATCTCCTCTGTTACCAAACACGGGAAATTCATTCTACTGAGAGACCATGGAAATGTGAGGGTATAGAATGTAAACAGACACAGGTTGGGGCCAGCAGGTGGAATGGTGGTTAAGGTGCTGGACACCCACATGGCCAACTGTGGTTTGAGTCCTAGGCCTGGTGGCTTGCTTTCTCACTTTCTCTCTCTCTTTCATATGCCCTATGTGAAACTTTAAAAAATAAAAATAAAATAAATATAAAAGAAAATGCTCATTAGTGGCGGCATGGATACCTCTCTCTCTCTCTCTCTCTCCACTCACACACACACACACACAGACTTAGGTTATTCAACTTGAGACAATTTATGGTGGGGAGAAGCCTTATCATGTAGTGAGTATGGTACAGCCTTCAGTCCCATACTGTTCCTTTCAAAAAAATAAAAATCAGATAACTTGTATTGTGGAAAAATTCTGCAAGCATTGTAAGTATGAAAAAACCCTCAATAATACTTTTGCCTCTCCACTTCAAGAACACACACACACACACATACACACACACACACACGAGAAAAAGTGCTGTGGAGGTGGTAGATGTGGAAAAGCCTGCAGCTAGGCTGACGAAGGGAACCCACCCTTGAGAAAGACTATGACTACAGTGAGCGTGGGGAGGCTTCGGCCAAAATGCCACTCTTCGTGCCCCTCAGAGCACTCTCCCCACTGGTGGAAACTGGCGACTGGAAGGCACGTGGGAAAGCTTTTGGTGGATCTTCCGCCCTTTTGCAAAGGGGAGGATTTATACCAGAGTGACTCGGAGTTTGGTGAAGCTGGGACAATCCACTAGTGCAGTTCAGGCCTTGGTATACTTAACTCTTTTCCTTTAAAGAGAAACCCTCACGGCTTAACGAGTGTGAGGGAAGGCCCTTTGGGACTTGGGAGTTATACTGATAAAACTAGAGCTGAGGGAGGCTGACAAATCTCGTCCTCTGGTGAGTTTCTACCGGAGGTGGCCGTTTGTCTAACTGCACTGTGTTCTACCTTCCATCCTGTCGCTGCCGGGCATGTGTCACTGACAGGCAGCCTGTCACTGCCTGCGGGGAGGATGCGGGCTGAGGGAGGCAGAGAGCCCCTAGTGGTTTAGAGCTAAGGGAAGTGATGTTAAGAAAATGCCCTGCCCTGGGTGGTAGAGGCGGTAGAACTAGCTGAGTGGGCCCCTGTCCTCTGGTTAACAGCTGCAGTTTGGGGACTGAGCCAGGCCTTGCCTTACAGCCGCCACATCCACTTGGTTCTCTAGAACCTTTCTCCATGAGGCGATGGAATGGCCTACACTTGAGGAAAAAATCAATTTTCATTTCATCTTTAGTTCTTTGCTATACTGTTGTTTCTTGGCATTCTTTTTATTTCCATTGGTCTAGCTACTTATTTTTTAAAAGATGTCATTTTATTTATGATTATTATTATTGTTATTTTATTTGACCAGAGAAAGAGGAGGAAAGTGAGAAAGCAAGCCACCAGGTCCAGAACGTGAACTGCAGTCAGCCATATGGGAGTCCAGAGCCTTAACCACCACGCCACCTGATGCCCCAACGCTTTTGCCATAGGGCGTGTGCACTCACCAGAGAGAAACAGTGAGAGGGAAAGTGAGAAATCACCCCTGGGGGGATGGTTACCCCGCAATCCTTCCTCCATTCTTCTTCTGGGATTTGGGGCACACATGCACGCACGTGTTCCCAGCGTGGTTTTCAAGCCACCAGGTTGGGACTCATGCAGTCGGCCATGTGGGAATCCAGCGCCGTGACCACCACACCACCTGCTTGTCCCTTCATCACATCTTTTTTGCTACTGGAGCTGAAGTTTTTGAAAGGAAATGAAATATTTTTTAAGCATTAAAGTCACTAAAATATGGATGTTACAGAAAAATAAAAACTTCAAAAACATTATTGTTTGTGGGAACCAGCAGTTAACGTAATGGCTATGTCGCTGGACTCCCACGTAGTTGACTGCGGTTCGCATCCCGGACCCAGTGGCTTAAAACTCACGCTGGGCGTGTGTGCGTGTGTGCCCAAGATCCCGAGAGGAGAATGGAGGAGAAGGGATTGAGGAGTGACCAGGGGTGATTTCTCGCTTTCTGTCTCTATGTCTCTGTCTGTCTGGCAAATGCATGCGCACTATGGCAAAAATCTCTCCAAAAAAAAAAAAAAACCAAAAAACCAAACATTATTGTTTGTGAAAAAAGTCAGATGCCATAGACCACATACTATGTGGTTCATTTCTAGAATATGTTGAGAAAAGGCAAACCTTCAGAGACAAAGAAGATTCACTCCTGTCTGGGAGTAGCAAGTGAGCGTGACTACAAATGTTATGAAGAGTCTTACTGGGATGACAGAAATGTTCTACAACGATCATGAAGATGATGAACTGGTTTGATAAATTTACCAAAAATCATTGAATTGACACTTACAGTGGGGAGATTTGATGATATGTAAATTACACCTCAATAATCTGCTTTTGTAAAAGTCAAGTATCCCAGTATGCTGACTATGGCTGAACTAATGTTCTTTGTTACCTCAAGCCACGTGTGCATCATCTTTAGTGTTGCTGCCAGCTAAAATCCAGTGCTTGTTTCTGTGAATGATCGAGAGGCAAAGCAGAGAAGAAGCGGAGTTTATTTAGCTGTGTTTGAGCACAAGAAGTGGCTGAGAGTTAATAAGCTCACACGAACTCCCAGAACAGAAGTTTCCAGCACAGCATGTACCGATACACTCTCGTCTACCCACTGTTACCTACAGCATAAATTTGCTAATTCAGTATTACTCTCACTCCCAGAACAGAAGTTTCCAGCACAGCATGTACCATTACACTTCTCGTCTATCCACTGTTACCTATAGCATAAATTTGCTAATTCAGTATTACTCTCACTCTTGTGCTTTTCCCAAAATTGTTCAGTGCACCTTTTCCCTTCACTGACATTTATGATGCTGGTTTTGTTTTTATGGTGACACTGAATCTGTTAACTGAAACTTGTGACTTGTATTGATAGTTTAAGGGAAAATACAACGTATTTTTTTATTTTGGGGGAAAGGTTTTTGCTATAGGGTGTGTGGGCTTGCCAGAAAGACAGAGAGAGACAGAAAGACAGAAAGTGAGAAATCACCCCCCTGGGGGGATGGCCACGCCGCAATCCCTTCTCCATTCTTCTCTCGGGATCCTGAGCACACACGCACGCGTGCCTGGTGTAAGTTTAAGCCACCGGGTCCAAGACTCAAACTACGATCAACTACATGCGAGTCCAGTGACATAGCCATTACATCAACTGCTGGTCCTGACAACATATTTTCTTTTAAAAAATTTATTTTAAGGGCTGGCAAAAGCATTGGATTCCCGCATGGTTGACTGCAGTTCAAGTCCCAGACCTGGCAGCTCGCTTTTGTGCTTTCCCTTTTTCTTTCTTGCTGTCTCTCTCTGGTCAAATTAAAAAAAAAAAACAATAACAAGTGGAATTAAATAAATATTTTTAAAAATTTTATTTTAAAGCTTTTTTTTTTTTTTTGCCATAAAGTGTGTATGATTGCCAGAGAGAGAAAAACAGAGAGAAGGACAGAGAGAGGGAAAGCGAAAAATCACCCCCAAGGGCGGAAGACCACACCATAATCTCCTCCATTCTCCTCTCAGGATTTTGGTCACACATACACCCAGCACAATTTTTAAGCCACCAGGTCCAGGACATGAACTGTGGTCAGTCATGTGGGACTCCAGCTTCCCAATCACTTCCCAATCACCAGCTACTGGCCCCAATAATTTTTTTCTTTAAGAAGTATTTATTTCATTTTATTCATTCATTCATTCATTCATTCATTCAAAGTTGACCAGACACACACACAGAGAGCGAGAGCAAGAGCAAGAGCAAGAGCGAGAGCGAGAGCGAGAGCGAGAGAGAGAGAAAGCAAGCCACCAGGTTCGGGACTCAAACCGTTGTGGGAGTCTCCAGCACCTTAACCACCATGCCACCTGCTGGTTCCATCAACAAATATTTTTTAAAAAATAATTAAATAATTACTTAGGGACAAGCAGATGGCTTAATAGTTAAATCGCTGGACTCTCATATAGTTGACCATGGTTCAAGTCTCAGACCTGGCAGCTTAAATTCATGCTGGGTGAGTGTGCATGTGTGCCAAAATCTCAAGAGGAGAATGGAGAAGGGATTACAGCATGGCCATCCCCCTAGGGGGTGAAGTCTTGATTTTTGTCTCTCTGTCTCTCTGGCAAGCACACACACCCTATAGTAAAAATCTCTAGTATACATATATATATATGTATATATGTATATGTATATATATGTGTGCATGTGTGTATGTATATGTATATGTATATGTATATATATATATATATAATATTTCATTCAATTTTATTTATTATTACTATTTTTCACCAGAGAGAGAGGGAAAGTGAGAACCACACTTCCAGGTCTGGGATTTGAATGGTGGTAGCCACCACCCACCTGTGAGTCCCAGCATCTTATCTTTAAGCTATACTGTTTATAAAAAGAATCTAAACATCTGTGAGTAACTAGTATATTATGTATTACATTATTTTCCTAGTTTAATCTGTTACACTGTATCCCTTAGGCAAACACTCCCATTTCTTAAGATATCTCCCCTGGAACCTCTTCTCCATTGCATTCTTGTGATTATTGTCTAAAGCAAGTGGCTTAAGTTTCCTCTTCTAAGCAAACAGGCTTATTTATGACCTCATTTGTTACAATAGATTACATTACAGATTACATTAGTTACAAAAGCTACAAGCACCAGTTAACCTTCAATGTGTAAGAAAAAGAAATAAAGAAGATAAGAAAGAGGAAAGTGTAGCAAGACATCAGAGTTAAAATATTTTTCCTGTTATAGTATCTTTTTTAAAACAATTATTTTATTTTAATGAATTAATTAATTTAAATTTCACCAGAGAGGGACAGTGAGAGAGAGAGGGAGAAAGTGAGAAACTAAGCTGTCAGGTCCCAGACTCAGACCTTGGTTGGTCATGCAGGAGTCCAGCGCCCTTAACCACCACGCCCCCCGCCGGCCCTTATAGTATCATTTTTTTTTTTTTTGAGAGGTTTTTGTTATAGGGCATGTGTGCTTGTCAGAAAGACAGAGAGAG